TATATATATATATATATATATATATATATTATATATATATACACACATATATACACATATCATATATATATACACATATATATACATATATATATATATACATTTACATATGTACATACATACATATATATCTCGTATTCCTTTCTGTACGACTATTAAAAGGCCGATTGATCTTTTATTCAACTTATCATTAATAAAAGAAAAGTCTCCACGGAAAATGTATATAATGTCGAAGTACTTATCGTAGACCCATTGAGTTCCATTGAAATGTTTCAATATGATTTGTAGCAAGTCAGTGCAACTGGCAATGAACATTGAAAGCTCCCGTTTTATATCCATGAAACGTGAATATCACCTTAAATATCCAGAGCGTGACTGCTTTACAATATGAATCAGCCAGAAATTTCTGATGGTTTATGTTCGATGAAATCGACATCAGACTTCGAATGAGAAAATTCGTATGTTTCTCGTGATTACAATATTTTCTTATCCATTTTTCTTATCTTTACTCAAAATGATTAAGCTTCAATAGAGAAAAGCAGAAAATTTTGATTTTTTGTTCGTATTTTTCGTTTAGCGGAATAGAAGAATTAAATTACAACAATAGAGATAACGTTTTCTCTGGTTATTGCTATCATGCTGAAAAATATCAGTAAATATTTGTAGAAAATTCTTGAAAAAAAAATAATATTTGTATAGGCAAATGTCGATTCCAGATATAAAAAACAATTGAATAAAAGATATAACAATATTATATTTTGTTATCTTGTTTAGCAACTAGTAATTTGTTAAAGTCACAATTTGTTAAAGTCACAAAAAATTATTTAATATCATCTTGTGCATTTTAAATTTAATTCAATCACGACATAATCCTCAGCAAACGTCAGATTTAATCTCAAGTATCAACGGAAGCCTCGTCTTTAAAGATTCTTTTCGTTTTCATGAATGGAAATGTTGGTTTATCTCGGATGCAAGAAGAAATAAAATTATCTCCTTTTTATCTCCTTCACTTAACTTTCCTGGAAGTCCGAATTTTCGTTAGAGGTGTTAAAAAGTGATTTGTTTCTTTCAGTTTGTATTATATAGAGAAAAGAGTGAAACATATATATTTTATTTACACAGACACACACGCGCGCGCGCGTCACACACACACACACACACACACACACACACACACACACACTATCGGAGAAAGTCACAGATTCTGGCGAGTGATTTCGAGAGAGCGAAAACCTTTGCTCTGAAATGGATACGAATAACATGTGCAATTCCTCGTGTTGAAATAGCATCGGACTTGCAACACGAATATGTACCATATGGGAATTTAAAACTAATGTTCACTTTCAACAAACATCTGAAAAATTTAAGATAGCAATTGCATTATATAATAAAATGAAAATTGATATGTAAAATTAGACTACAGAGAAATAATTTCGGAAATGACGGAAGAATATTAAAAATTTTACTTGGTCATTTTCTAAAGAAAAATGCGTAGAACTTATTAAGATGAATAAATAAGAAAGTTTCAATAAGAATATTTTCTAAGATTACAATTCTTCTTGAGATATAACCAATAGTACAAATTCATTACAACTGTTTTGCTATGAGTACTGTATAAATTCATCAACATAAAATCATTTTACGCGAAAAACATATATTATTAGAATTAAACAAATATTATTGAGAATACATATAATGAATAATCTATCAGTATGTTGTTAGAGTTGAATAATCTCAGGAATTTCAATTTTATTTATTAACCAATATGTCATATATTTATTATGAGCATTTGCTTTATATTTAATCAATATATGTACGTAATATACGTAATATATGTACGTACTTTATTATATAAGTTTGAAAAGGAAGGAATTTATATTTATTCATTTATTCTATAAAATTTAAAATTTAATATTTAAATTTAATAATAAATATTTTGAATTTATATTTATTTTATCGAAGTATGACCGAAGAGTTTACAACTCTTTTTTTAAAATGTATATATATAATAGCGATTCTTTGAAGAATATTGTAGCTTTCGAAATATATTTTGAGAATATACGTATGCGAATAAATGTGAGCGAGCATAATTCCAACGCGACAGTACGCAACAAGCATATTGGAAAAATATTTGATTTCCTCGAATGTCGGATTCAGGGAACATAATCAGGATATGCTCACCCACGATCGACAGATCGCCAATAATATTCTTTACTGGCAAACTAAAAGTAACCAAGTTTCTTTCGTAATCCTGTACCAGAACGATCGGCGATGGATTATGCGATATTATTCAAAAGAACTGCGTGTTGTCGTGTGGCGCAAAATTAATAAGTCTAAAGAAAAAGAGGTACGTTTTCTCGAAAGAAAAGATCGGCACGAATATAACATCTTCTTCGAACTGAAATTGTTACAGCAGGCACGACGCGACGTAACACTGCTATACTATTTATCGCTAGTATTCTTTGAACATGTTTCAGAAAATTTTTAGGAAAAATGCGACAAATTTATATAAATGTCGTATTAAAACATAGATATATATATAAATATATAATATTTTATAAATATTATAATATTTATAAATATGTTTAGTAATATTGTTTTTAAATGGCTGACATATTCTCTTCGATTACTCCGTAATCAGTGTATGACTGACATTAGTTAAACATTATATACATATACTAATCATTAATACTTTCTGCTTGTTCTGAATATGTAAAATCTATTCTAGACGATCTACAATTCAAGTTTTAAAACAAAATTCTATGTTCTATGTATAATCTTCTGTGCCGCGTATTATAAAATCATTTAATTAAAGATATG